TCTCTCTCTCTCTCTCTCTCTCTCTCTCTCTCTCTCTCTCTCTCTCTCTCTCTCTCTCTCTCTCTCTCTCTCTCTCTCTCTTATTCTTGTCCTTTCTGTCTCTTTGCAGATCTGTGGACGTGGTAATCTCCAACTGTGTCATCAACTTGACCCCAGACAAAAGGCCCGTTCTTTCGGAGGCCGCTCGCATTCTGAAGCCGGGGGGAGAACTCTACTTCTCCGATGTGTTTGCAGACAGGCGGATTCCGAAGCACCTGCGTGACGACAAGGTCTTGTTCGGCGAGTGCTTGTCAGGAGCTCTCTATGTGAAGGATTTCGGCCAATTGATGAGTGAGGTTGGACTGGGGGCATGGGGAGTCGTCAACCATTTGCTCATTACCGCCAACAATGAGAAGATTTTGGAACGTGTAGGAGACATCACTTTCTACAGCCTCACGGTGCGTGCCATCAAGGTGGACCCAAGCAAACTGGAAGATGCTCTCGAGGACTTCGGACAGGTAAAGAAGTACCCGCCATATGGCTCCTCCTCCTCCTTCTCCTGCTGCTGCTCTGTGTGTGTGTGTGTGTGTGTGTGTGTGTGTGTGTGTGTGTGATGACAACACGCAATGAACAAGAACTTGTGTGTGTGTGTGAAACGACAACACACACTGAACACGACAAGTACCAAAACCCTAAGACTAAATAATAAAAAACTGATGATGATAGGTTGTTTCGGTGGAGTTGCACCGACTCATCAGGAGGCTGAACCCTCGACAATGTGCGGAATGCTCGTGTTGATGCTTTTTGGGTTGTGCGCTGTTTGACCCTTGTCGAAGGCAGACCATCCCCAAACAGAACACGATAGCAGAGGCCGTAACCCAGCGAAGCCCCAGGCAACGCTGGATGGGCAACACGGCTGCTCAACGCCAAAGACTACTGCAAGAAACAACGTGGCAAGTGGACGGGCAGCACAGCAACAGGCCAGCAAAGCACACGGCGACCGCAATGCAGCATCCACACTTACCCGGCACACAAGCAAGGATCACTGGGCAGCAAGGCAGCCGCGCAGCGAAGCACTTAGCGCACTAGCACCGCAGCAACAGCGGACAGCGAACACAACAGCCTTGCAAAGAACGACATGCGACGTAAGTGGGACGAGCAGGAAGGCAGCAGCGGAGCGCAGACAAGGCCGCCTGCACATCCAACACAGAGCAAAGCGGCACATCACGTACTCACATCACGAGTGAACCCCGACAGACTGTTGGTTCCCACCGCCTGCTGAGCCACAAGGCCGCTCTGACAGACGTCTATCATCACCTGTAAACCGTATGGCCACAGACAACATTACAAATAACACGGCTCCCCTAAGAGTCCTGCAGGCACTCCAAACCACCAAAGACCGACTATTTAGCACTTCTTGAAGGTGCTCGCATAGACATATGCAAAATACTCAGAAAAAAAAATCAAGAACAAGAAATACTTGAAATACATACCTAGATACATAACAATGATTCTGTGTGTGTGTGTGTGTGTGTGTGTGTGTGTGTGTGTGTGTGTGTGTGTGTGTGTGTGCGATAGATAGATAGATAGATAGAGATAGATAGATAGATAGATAGATAGATAGATAGAGAGAGAGAGAGAGAGAGAGAGAGAGAGANTAGATAGATAGATAGATAGAGATAGATAGATAGATAGATAGATAGATAGATAGAGAGAGAGAGAGAGAGAGAGAGAGAGAGAGAGAGAGAGAGAGAGAGAGAGAGAGAGAGAGAGAGAGAGAGAGAGAGAGTATTTTGGAAGGATATTATGCTGATTCTCTTATCCTTGCGACGTTCCAAGTGTTACTTCCCCGATGGCATGCTGTAGACGCTTGAGTGGGTCACAGTCACACGGGTCGCGGTCACGCGGGTCACGGTCACATTGGAACGCTTAATACAAATTAGCTTGGATACAGCCCCCCTGCCCCCATTCATTGAACCTGTTCTTAAATTAAATGACCTTCTTTACCAGCAAAAGTTACAAAACTGAAAAAAATTCTATTGTAGGTTCACTCCTCTTTTTGTGAAGGTTTCTTTGATGAAGATATAGCTCTCTTGCTTGACATTGATTTTCGTATTCAATCATTTTTCAATGTGCCTCTTGCTGCCTGCCTTTTTCGTTCGCTCCTCTTCTTCCTCCTCCCCCCCTCCCCTTTTGCTTTGCTGCAGACTGCGACGTACAATGGGGCCATTCCTGGCTATGAAGAGTTTTTCAGTCTGGACCTGAAGAACACCTTTGCAAAAGGGAAGCCGACTCCCGTCGACGGGCTGACGGCATCGTTGATCCTCTCCTCTAGATACGGTCCGCACTTCTCCGTCACAGAGAAGGGGTCACACAGGGGCATCTTTTGTGGTGAGAATGCCATTGCTGGAGGGCCTGTTGGCTGGGCCCTTTTCCTGGCGAAGGAGGCCAAGAACGCCCCACCTGCTAAATGTGGGTCATGCTGTTGCTGACGGAGATGAAGTCAGATTGGCCTTCTCTTTTCTTCTTCTTTTTTTTTTCTTCTAGAATGGCCATTTGTGGAAATCGAAATTCAAAACACGATTAGAAAAAGTGGTTAAAAAAAAAAAGGATAACGGACACCAAGTAAGAAGGAGAAGCCTTCCACCGCAATCAGTATTGAAGGGAGATTGAAGTCCATAATTGGGACTTTGGCGAGTGTATTTGGTCGACCACTAAGATCAGGTTCTGCCCAGAATATCCCAATGTGAGAGTCTGTTTTTCAGGCTAGGCATGCCTGCTGGACAACGATGATCATGGGTGTACCAACTGAGCTACGTAGGCATTATTGCTACACCCGTGAATTGTTGAAAATGCAGACCGGAGTTCGATTCCAGATGCAAGCAGTTGAGCGGAACAAGGTACTACCGACTATCGTAACGTGACGTGGAGGGTTCCTTTTTTTTTTTCTTTTTTTTTTTCTTTTTTTTTTCAAATGTAATATAAATAGTAGGTACGGATTCGGAGTGCCTGTAAAGGATTTCCAAAGATTTTAGAGATATCGAGTGGTGGGCGGAATTCGAGTGGGTAGTATTTTAGGGATATTCTTTGGTAGGCCGAAATTGGGAAGAGGAAGACGGATTTTTCTAGAGCATTCAAACTCTTGTGTGATGTTAGGTGAGATGGGAGTAGTAGGGGCGGGGTGGTGGTTTGTGGGACTGCTCTGTCTATTTCGTTGCTCGAGGGGCCATGGCCGGAGATGGGTTTGCCCGGGAGCGACGTGCTCAGCTCCGTATGGCCACCGTGTATATATATGTGAGGGACGCTGGGCACGCTTCCCGGCTTATCATGCAGTGGGAGTGGTTTAAAAAAAAAACAAAAAAAAAAATGGACTGCCAAAGCCGCGCACCGCTTTGTCTTATCCCTCCAGGGACGTGAATAGAAGACCTGCAGCGCCTCCGCTTACACTGTGAACAAGCTCCTTGTCTTTGGGACTCAGTCTGGTAAAGATCTGGTATGGCCCCGATGCCAGGCAGCCACCACACGCTGAACATATATGTGCCCCATGTCAGTCGCGCTTATGTGTTTTGTGTGCCCGTCAGACTCACTGTGCTGATTTCTGCTGCGCTTCACACGCTCACCACACCACATTCGTTCGTCGGAGTGCTCGGGAGTGTTTCTTGTGACTGTGTTGGCCGGACGGCTTCTGCATGTCAGACAGACTCACTGCGCTGACTTCTGCTTTGCGTCACACACCTCACGACACCACACTCGTACTGCCTATGCTATGCTTATTCGGAGGAGTGTTCGGGAGTGTTTCTTGTGACTGTGTTGGTTGGTAGGCCTCCTGAGCTTTAGGAGTAACCGCGGTTGCTTTGAAAGCTCTTCCTGAAACTGGCTGCTAGACATGAAAGCTGGGATGGTTGGATTTGGCCGGCGCTGGCCCGGCGGCGTATTATCTTGTAGCCAGCGGCGGCCGAGCTGTTTGGGATCCTCAGAGACTTTACACGAGAATTCTCTCAATCAATGGGGTGGGCTTTGCCCTGTTTTGGTCGTTTGGATGCATCTCCTCCTTAAGTTTGAGTCTGGCCGGTGATGCGTCATTTTGTGGTACAGAAGCAGCAGTGAGCAGCATACTCAGGGCACAGTCCTGCTCTCACAGCTCCTGCACTTTCTTAAGTGTTCCTGATGCCAATTGCGGCCAAATTCAGACTGTTGAGAAAGGTTGTTTCCTAAAACAGTGGCAGAATGACGGTCATTGACTCAGACTGTGGATGTTTGTGACCAACGACTGCATGGGATTGGGGCTGATGCGTTGAAATATCGATCCTACGACATCGAAGACATGTTTTTCTTGCTTCCACATGATGAGATTCTGAATGCAGTGAATTGGTTGCTGGGCGACCACGCATCGAAGGGCCCCGCAAGTTTGGTACGAGGAAACATGCGTGGCCGTGGAGCATCGTTTGGTCTAACGACTGGCTGGTTGTGATCATTTGGAGAAAGTTGCGGCTGGCTGACGCTCAGTGAATTGTTTTAGTTTGAACCGACGCATACACGTACCTTAAATTGCTCGGTCGCTTCTTCTGATTCAAGCAGGAGGTGGGAATTCGCATGCATTGGGGAAAAGCATGAGCCACCCCTCGCTTGCATTATGTGTGCTAAGGCCGAATTCGACTTTCTGTCTGGCTTCGGTTGCTTGAGTAAGCATGTCTTCGGCGTTCGGCTAATTGATGATGTGGGTGTGAATATCGGTGGAAGAGACCTTGCGTGCTATTCTGAGCGGGAGGCGATTTTTGAATCTGAATCATTTGAACGATGCTACCCTGATAATCTGACATTGAAGTGCACCGATAGCGGCCGGAACGTTGGGGAAGTTTTTGGTTGTGAGAAGGCGCCCTCCGAAGTGGTGCGGGTTTCATGCTGACACCCCCGGCCCGATGTGTGGGGTACTGGTGCTTTAAACCACCAGTACTTGGCCCAGCTATTGGCCGTGGAAAAAAAAAGAGTAGAAACGTTTCTAGTCGGATTAATTTGGGCGCTCATGTAGTGGCCAGTACGTTTCCTAAAATTGTGGCGCGTTAACGGGCACGACTCTAGGAAGTAGTGGTGGTTTAAGAGGATGATGATTGAATAGGTATTGGATCTCTTACTTCCGCTAATGGGCATTGCCATGCCATTTAGCGCAAGTGGCATTGCCATGCCATTTAGCAGGGTTTACAGTTGGATGAGAGGTGGAGCGCTGAACTCCTTTTTTTTTTTTTTTTTCCTTTTCTTTCCATCATTTCTTTGTAATATTCATGTGTCGTGGGATCGCGTCTTGAGTGCATTGCATGTGGAGGAAGACGGTCGATGGACCTTTTGTTAAAAAAACAAAAAATAAAGCTACTTTTTTTTTTCTTTTACCCCCGCTCAACGGATTGAGCAGCCGATAAAAAAATTGATAAGCTGCTTGTGTGTGCTCAACCCACAGTTCTGTATTAAAAGGCAAAATAATAGTACGCCCTCTGAGCTGGGCACGCAGCTGGACATAAAGCTACTTGTTTCATCCTTTGGGACATCTGTTAAAATTGGAACGATACAGAGAAGGGTAGATTAGCAAATGGCCCCTGCGGAAGGTAGATTAGCAAATGGCCCCTGCGGAAGGATGACACGCATAAATCGAGAAAGCTACTTGTTTCGTAGGGCCTCGCTCCACTACTGTAGACATATGTGCAAAGTTCGACTGAAAAAAAAAAAAAAAAAAGTTAGACTGAATCTTCGGCGCTACAACATGGAAAGACACACCGCCACCCTTTTTTCTTTTCTACATGAGTAGTGGAGCGAGGCCCATAAGTAGTGGAGCGAGGCCCATAAGTAGTGCAGCGAGACCCAGAAGCAGTGGAGGGAGGCCCATAATTTCTAAAACACGTGCAGATTGACGGTCATTGAACCTGAGCAAACATGTGGACTAGGTGTGAAAAGATGCGCCTGTCGCCTACCGAAGTAGTCCACACCCTGCTCAGTTCATACTCGGGCTCTCTCAGCTTCTGAACTTTCTTCAGTATTCCTGATCGCAATTGCGGCCAAATTCAGACTGTTGAAAACCTCTTATCCGCACCCTGCTCAGTTCATACTCAGGCTCTCTCAGCTTCTGAACTTTCTTGAGTGTTCCTGACTGCAATTGCAGCCAAATTCAGACTGTTGAAAAATATTTTATCGTCTCCACCTAAATAGAACAGTGGTCGGTATAGCGCCACGCCCGCCACCTGTATTCAGGGCAACTTTGAGTGCAGATGGAGCTATAGCGACCGGGCACCGGTCATTCTCTTTGGGTGAGGACTCTAGTGTTTGGTGAAATTCAATACGGCCTCAGAAGCAGCATGTGACATCCTTCAAGTTGATAAGCCTTCTAACAGCTCAGAGTCTGCCTTTACACCACCAGTACGTTTCCCGGCTGTAAAATCAAAGTCGCGGCGTGCATGATACTGCATTGCTGCTGCGATTTTCGGGGCTCAGCCTCCAGAGCAAAATAGATGGCGGCCCCAGCCAAAAGAATGCCTGTGCCAATTCAGTCATTTCCAGCCCCGGAGAAAAGTTCCCCCGAACTTGAAGTACTGGTGGTTTAAGTTCTTCTGCCCCCGGGCCTCGCACCCGCATCCTCGTGAATGTCCTGTTCGGGTCCAAATACAGCCTTGACCCTGGGGCCATCTGTTGGGGAGAAGGTTCTTTTCTTTTTTTTTTGACAAATGCTCCAGTCTATTCATGGGGAGCGGCACGTACTGGGAACCGGGCCCAAGTCTAAAATTCTCTAACACTGTCTTATTCCCTGCCGAGCTCACCCAGGCCTCATACCCCCACCCTGCTAGGTTACAGGGGAACACGACTCACCCCAGCTCCGCCCAGCGTCGTCCTGACAGCAACCATTAGGTTTCCCACGGAATGCGCGCCCCAAGGCATCCCCAGATCTCTCGACCAGACCTCACGCTCCTGCTATCAACAGGTTACAGGGCAACCCCCCAGCACCGGCCAGCATCGTTCTGGCATCGAAAAACCGCAGATCCATGAATATAACAGCATCCAAGAAGCCTAAACAGAGTTGCAAAAAGTACCCAGAATCCTAAAGCATTCTCAAGACCGCCAAAAGCAACTGAGAACAACAAAATTGTTTGTGATAATTGAGAACGAATTTGGATAATTTGGAAGCCAATATAATCAAAACCATGCTACCCCAGTGTTTTTTTTTTTTTTTTTTTTTTTTTTTTTGAAAGAAACTCCCTGTGGTGCTAGGGGTGCTGATAAGAGCAGACACCGCTAGCACCTGGGGGGAGGCTCCATCTATCGGTGGGGAGCTTCGCCTGCTTCAACGGACCAGCCTACGGCTCCCTCAACCCACCTATCCTAGATACCAAGCTCTACCAGGCCTCACGCCCCCAGCCGCTGGGTTACAGGGCGGCACGACCCAGCCCAGCTCGGACCCGCGTCGTCTTGGTAGAAGCTCGCGGTTAGCCACTGGACGGCCTTGGAGCAGAAGGTACTAGTACCCTCCACTCAAAAGGTGCAGGGAGTCACGAAGACAGGACGGCGTTTTTGGAGGACAGGACATTATGCTCACGTACACAGAAGGTTGCAAAAAAGAGACTGGTGTGCAAATTTGTCAAACACCAACGGGCCTCCATTTTCTTAAAGAGGTAGATATACTCATATAGCCGGGAACCGGGCCCGACATCCATTACATCATTTGCTGCGGCCAAACGGGCTAAGCGAGGCACTTTTGGCCAAATGGGCTAAGCGAGGCACTTCTGGCCAAACGGGCTAAGTGAGGCACTTTCGGCCAAACCTATCCAACCACAGCCGGAATCAACGATCACAAATAAATCCC